CCCCGCTTTCCCCCGTCTCACTTTCCCTCCCTCCCTCTCTCCCCCCGATGGAGCTGGGCTGGGTGATAGTACACATACCATGGCATGTGCCCACAGAGAGGGCTCTGAGTGCCACCTCTGGCACAAGTGCTATAGATTTGTCACCACTGTCCTAGGCCTACTTGAAGAAACCTACAGGGGGAAAAATGTATCTAGAAAGAGTGACACTTAATAAAAATGACTTTCTTCATCGTTGATCTCCAATGCAAAGATATTTCCATTTGCTATCAGACTGACTGCCATTCGACTGTTCCTGGCAAAGAACACGCCCCACCAGTCTCCAAAAAAAAAGGGGGGGGGGTTAGAGCATGCCTAGCCCAGCTTTGTAATAACACAGACAAAAGAATGCTTTAATGTGAAAAAATGTGAACTGTGAAAAGTCTTGCTTATTTCATTCTTGATAAAATTATGCTCAGTTGCCTCATTGATTGTATGGAATTATCCTCATTTTGCTGTTTAACTACAATTTATCAAGTAAAACAGTCTCTTAAACTGAAGTCCTGCTGGTTGACTCTCATACTGTACTTTATAAATTATTTTTCCCAACAATATACTTCCCAATTCCTCTTCAATATTAAAATTTTCTCATGTGTTCAGATGACAACCCCATAAATTTACAAAGATATGCTGCCTAGTTACTTGCATGCCGAAATACTCAATAGACAACAGTGTATATTCAAATAAACTGGTTGCCATATGTCAATGAGGAGAGTCACCTGGAGGGGGAAAATGTATTTGATAATCTAATACATTATAGGGAACATTTAAAGTACATGACAAGTTATATGCATTTTCATGTGATTTGAATGTCCCAGTTAAGATTTAATATAAGAGAGAAGCTAAAGGAATTAATCTTTCAGATAATAATCAGAAACCATCAGATAAAAGCTGAACGTGAAATAATCTGTGACCTCCCAAGTTGTGTCCATGCCTAGAATTTTATTTTATTTTTTTACAATTTATTAAATTTCAACATCAAAGATTAAAATACGAACCAATATAAAAGGGAAAGGGAATAACAAAGCAAATGGAAAGTGACCAAAAATAAAAACCTATATCAAACTAATTTATAAGATGACCTCTGGCTTTCTTTTAGTACAAAGATAACAATAAGACTATCTCTTTTAATTTTAAACAACATAAAGTATCTTAAAATACTAATAATTAATCTTACTAAAATGAATATTCATGCAATATTCTCTTAATTTTATTTTACACACAATTTTAAAGTTTTGCACTCCCCTTTGATCATCACACTGAATTCCAAAAGGACGTTGGCCATGGGCTTTCTCATAATTTTGAGACCTGAAAACTGTAAAGGGGGGGGGGGGACTTTATTATTATTCCATGCAAAAGAGAGGAACAAATAGAAAAAGGCCAGTCTCACATATATGAAGTAATCTGCCCATTCCATACATATTACTGTCTGCCCTTTGTAGAAATGTGAAGTAGAATCCCTTATTCAATGCTCCTTTGCTACTGTAGTTAATGAAATTTCTGCAAAATAATGTAATTTTGTCAAAGTAAAGAAATGTTTGGTGATCATTTAGCGTTTTAAGGAAACAAGGAATAAAACAAGAGAATGCTATTATGAAGAATGTAACTGTAAACTGGATAAGTTTCACTATTGTTACTTTATCACTTTGGAATTGATGAAAACGTGTTGTAATTTCTATTTTATTTTGTTTATTTTTGGCCTAAAGCTTCTCTATCTTAAAACACTCTCTGCTACTCTACATTTCTATTCTTCTTTATTATTTTAAGTGAATTCAGCAATGATGACTGTACTGGATGTCAAAAGAACTTTTCTAAAGCATAGCAAAATAACAGGAAATTGGAGGTATTACATTTACACAATTGGGACTTGCAATAAAATGCATAATGCAGTGTTCCTGTTCAATGATGCAGTCAGCTGTGGCCTTTCTTTTTCCTCCCCACTGAGCATAAATCAGTCCTAATTCATATATTTTGGGTTTGTTTGGTTCTCTCTTTAAAAGTTAACAGAGTTAACTCTGTTCTTCCCTCCAATCCTTTAATTGTGACAATCTCCTCCTTCAACCAGTCCACGCACCTTTATTTTGGATTGTGCCATTATAACTATATAATCTTGTCCAGCAGCAAATTTGTACTTGGAGGATGATTGAGAACATTGTGGTATACACACATCTCCTTCAATGCTGTTCTTCTGCCATCTGATGATTTTTGACATCGCAAGTCTATGCGTCTAATAGTGTCCTATGTTTTTTTAGGGTGCTTTAAAGACAACAGTTTTCTTCTGCAATCATCTCTGATTTCATAGAATTATATGATGAGGTGAGCCTTTTCTTATTAAAGCAAAAAAGAGGCTAGGGAGACAGCATAGCTGTGGGATGCCTATAAATTGGTAATTCTAGGAGCTTTTTATCTTCAAGGGTTCCGTGGCAGCCTATCTCTGGTTCTTCATCATAGCAAAATGCTGTAAGATTTTTCCCAAAGTCAATGTCACTGCTACAATAGTAACTGCATCCACCCCCTCACACTTCCAGAGTTGCAACTTGAGTTGCCACGGCAACATCAACCCCCACAAAATGCCTTAGAATAAGTACTGCAATGCCTAAAAATGACATCATGGTGTCCAACTGTACCATCAAGTAGGGGAGGCACCAAAAGGCATGGCTGACAAAACAACACATTGACTGTAAAACAGTTGTGAATGATATATCAGCAAGAGAATGCCTACATGATGTCTAATTCTTTTTCCTTTGAAATCATTATCTCTAATGGTTGCCCTATCTTTTCCTGACATTGACATTTCTACAACTTCATTGTTGCGCTCTCTACCAACATTATCCGACAGGACTGATAAGTCTATTTTGTTAAATATCCCTGTACATTGCTGCAACATAATTAGTTAGCATTATTACTTGTATAAAACATTCTGATTCTGTATTTCCGTACATGATGATGTTGTGCATCATTAATTAAGGGCCTACCAGTGTTTGTAGGTGACATTGCCTGGATGATCTTGGCTGATCTCAAAAAGACTAAAGAGGATTTGGCTGTTTAGGGCTCGGAGGAAAGAGCTCCAGGGCAATAGGTTAAGTGTCAGGAAAAAACATTGGGAGAAGTCATATGATGCATGGACCTAGCCAAATAATGCTTAGTCAACAAACACTTTGCTATTTAAACCGCGGCTTAATGTAATGTGTGAATAAGGTCACCCAGTGATCTAT